TTAAGCCACTGGGTCCAGGACGCGAACCGCGGTCAACTACGTGGGAGTCCAGCGACATAGCCATTACGCTAACTGCTGGTCCCAATAAAATAAAATAATTGTTAAAAAACATAGAGATTGGGAACCAGCAGTTAGCGTAATGGCTATGTCGCTGGACTCCCACGTAGTCGACCGTGGTTCGTGTCCCGGACCCCGTGGCTTAAAACTCACGCCGGGCGCGTGTGCGTGCGTGCCCAAGATCCCGAGAGGAGAATGGAGGAGAAGGGATTGTGGCGTGACCATCCCCCCTGGGGGGTGATTTCTCGCTTTCTGTCTCTATGTCTCTGTCTGTCTGGCGAGCGCATGCGCCCTACAGTGAAAATCTCTCCAAAAAAAAAAAAAAAAACATAGAGATTCTTTCCTTTACAGTTAAAGCAGACTACACAATCCAGACCAACTCTCCAACTGAGGACAACTGAAAAAGCTGAGTAAAGTATTTCTTACAAACCCAGCCTAGGTGGCACAATCTGGAGTGTACAGGACGCTAGTGCTAGAAGTCCACGGTCAACTGCAGGTTCTGATTTCTGGGTTATCCTGAAAACATATCGGGAATATTCAAAGGTGCCCAAGGTTCTGAGGAGCTGGTGGGGGGATGAAGAAAGAGGTCTGCAGCATGACAAAACTCCATCATAGATATTTTTGTCTCTTTCTCTCTCTACTCCTCTCTCTGTCACGTGCGTGTGCATGTGCTCTCTGTCAGAAAAGTAAAAACAAACCAGCTGGGTCAGCACGTGACGTGGTGGTTAAGGTGCTGGATTCTCACAAGCCTGACAAACAGTCGAGTCCCAGACCCAGTGGCTTGAAAATTATGCCTGGCATGTGTGTGTTGAATGCTCAGAATCCTGAGGGGAGAGTTGAGGAGGACTGCGGTGTGGCCATCACCCCTGGGGAGTGATTTCTTACTTTCCTTCCCTCTGTGTTTCTCCAGCAAGCACACACACACACTATTGCAAAAACCTAAAAATAGAATAGAATAGAATAGCATAAAACAAAACAAAACAAAACAAGCCAAAAACAAACCCGCTGGAAGGTACCATGACACAATGAGATCATAATATTTGGGAAAAGGAAGACACATAGAGAGACTAGTGAGGCATTTGGGCCACTTTTGTCGTGAGCGTATTTGATGATCTAGAAGTGGAACATACACACAGAGCAGTGCTTTTGACAACTTGAAAGGTTTAGGGTTGCAAAAAATACAACAAAAAACCCCCAAACCCTTGGATTCCAGGGTGTACCAAGGAAGAAGCTTTGGTGAACCATCCCACAGGCTGCAATTGGGCCTTGGGTCTTCTGGCTGACCTAGAAAACCTTTAAGTCCTGAAATCAGATCAAAGAGATCCTGGATTGCTAGTGCCTCCAGGCAGCTGGCAAAATAATAAAATTATTTCTGGAAGGAAAATATCATCCGTGGCTACAAATTACTTCTCTAAACATTTTCTGAATACAATGTCTGGCACACACCCAAAGATTATCAGGCACACTGCACTGAGAGTGAAAGATGCATGTTGACTCTCCAAGACAGTAGTTGACCAAGTGTGGTCCCGGTATCAGAACCATCAACATGACCTATAGCTTAATAGCGATGCAAATTCTCAGGTAACACCCCAGGCCCCTGAACTGAAAATCTGCAGACTGGGACACAGAAAGACCTACCGATCTGCTTTAATAGCACATTTAGGTGATTCTCATCTGTATTGAAATGTGAGAACCAATGAAAGTCTGTAAGCATAACAATGACCACTTCCTCAGAGATATTATCAAGAGAATTCCTGCTCCAGGTCAGGGTGGACTTAATGAGTCCTGAGGTCCTCTCTAGTTTAAAGGTTTTGTGACTTGATGATTTTTTTTTCTTTTTTTTTTTGGAGAGATTTTCGCTATAGGGCGCGTGCACTCGCCAGACAGACAGAGAGAGAGAGAGAGACATAGAGACAGAAAGTGAGAAATCACCCCTCAGGAGGGGATGGTCATGCTGCAATCCCTTCTCCTCTATTCTCCTCTCGGGATCTTGGGCACGCACGCACACGTGCCCGGCGTGAGTTTTAAGCCACCGGGTCCTGGACGCGAACCATGGTCAACTACGTGGGAGTCCAGCGACATAGTCATTACGCTAACTGCTGGTTCCCAGTGACTTGATGATTTTATAAGTGGGCGTGGGCTGTAGAGCACAACTGAAAATCCGTGGTTTAAATCTAGACGCCAGGGAAAATGTGTTCTGGATAAGCAGAGGTACATAACTTGTGAGAATTCCCAACAAAGCAAGAGAAATTACTGGCAAACTGTTACTTCAACGAAAGAAAGGAAAGAAAAGGCCCCTGGATATCTTTTCTTCTTAGGATTAAAAAAAAAAAATGTATTACTTTGGTGGTAACTTTTCTTGTCATAAAAAATTCAGACCTCACTGAAATGTAGTAAATCAAAGAGTCAGGAGATAAATTTTAAAGCAATTTCGAGTCACTAGACACTATTTTGGTGCCCGTCCATATTTTAAAATCCTTCATTATTTTTGGAAACCTTTAACCTACACAGACACTGAGTTGAAAAAATGGAGGTAGCCCACGTCTTTACTTAAAGTCACTAACAAATGACTACATTCTGACTTCTATGTCACTGTCCTTTGCATTTGGTTGAGTTACTTTCATACTGCTCTTGCTGTAAATAATAGCCGAAGTATTAGGCTGGCAGGTCTTTCCCTCTGCTAGTTCACAGGGTCGTTATTCACCCACAGGGTGAGGCTGGAGGGGGCTCTAAGAGTTTAAACAGAGGAGATGTATAAAATAGCAACTGGAAGTGTTCAGGCTCTAACTACGATGGCTGTAAAAGGATCCTTGAGGCTTCTGTTGGGTTGGGTAGAGCCTCTCTCCAGTTGGAAAAGTATGTTGAATGGGCTCAGATGCCTTGGCAGTGTGGGGTACTTGGGGTCTCGGTTCCACTGTTACTTACCAGTTGGTAAGAGGGCATTTTACCGTCTCCAGTTCTGGCACAACCATACTAAAGAACCTTTTCCGGACACGTCTTTCATCTCAATTCTGCTCCCCACACCTCCACCCCAGTCTCTGCCCCTCCCGCAACCCCGACACTTCATGTCATCCAACCTTGTCTGTTTCTGAGTATGTTTCCTGAATCACTGTCTCAGATTCATCCACGCTTAACTCGGAGGGCTCTGGGAACCTCCTGGACAAGGCAAACAGCACGGCATCGTGGAGACTGAGGAACAGCTGGGCCTTGGTGATGCCGGCATCGAAGAAGTCATTCTTCTCAAATGCCCTGACCACGGAAGCTACGAACCAAACCCAGAGCACATGGTGTCAGACATCCGGGGCGTAAAACAGAGGCTCCAGAGTGCAGAACACAGCCCTCTCACGGGGTGGACGATACTCACTGTGACACCCCGCAAAGAGCACCAGAATGTTGGTGTTCTCGAAAGCATTGCACATCTGCAGGGAGGAAGCAAATGAGTGTCAGGGAGCTTCGTGCTCACTGGGAAAGGGTCTTCTAGTTAGCCGAGCTCTAAGACCGCTTTGTTCAGTCACTTGTCTGGGATATACAACTACCTGTGCACCCTAATTCAGTTCTAGGAATAATTAGTACGTGGACTTCTGCTTGCCAGAAAATGGCCTAAGTTCTTGGGATATAGAAGAGAATCAAACTCTCATGTGGGGTGGGGAGCGAGAGGGAGGTTTGCTCGTGGTCCTGAGAGAGGACATACTTCTGATAGAGAATGTTCGCGTGGGGAGCGCTCCAGGAGAGATCCAGGCACGCGTGTGATGGAAACGCATGGGACACTTGTTGTGTACAACGGTATCTTGGTATCATTGCATATTTGTGGGTGACCCCTCTCCCTCGGAGGTCCCTGAGCAGAGGAGGCAAGACACAGCCTAGAGATAGTGAAGGGATATTGTAGGGAACAGAATCCAGGAATGCTGAGACTCACGCTCAGAACAGCTCTGCGTAGTGGCATTTAACTTGGTGAACATCAGACACTAACCTCAGTTACTTCAGCCACTATATATGCTCTTAATCTTGAAGTTTACTGCAAAGCAAGTCAGGACTAACCTTGATACTCTTTTTTGTTTGTTTGTTTTGCTACAGGGCCTGTGCACTCATGGGGGTGAGGAGGGAAGAGAGAGAGAGAGAGAGAGAGGGTAATGATTGCTCAATTGGCCATGTTGCAATTCCACTTCTCTTCCACTCTTTTTTTTTTTTTTTTTGGAGATGGTTTTTCTTAAGGGGGCATGCAACCTGCTATAGGGAGCATGCACTCGCCAGAAAGACAGACAGACAGAAAGAGAGAAATCACTCCCCAGAGGGGATGGCCACGCCACAATCCCTTCTCCTCTCGGGATCTTGGGCATGCACTTGTGACCGGCGTGAGTTTAAGCCACCAGGTTCGGGATTCGAACCACGGTTGACTACATAGGAATACAGCGACATAGCCATTATGCCAACTGCTGGTCCCAATATTGTACTGATTTAATCGAGGAAAAAAGATTTGGAAAAATTGGATCTAGTTATAAAATACATGAAAAGGTAAATTATTCAACACTTTTGTGGAAGGAGATCAATGACATGTCACAGTAGCTGAGGGTGTACTAAGTTTTAAACTTTCTGGCAAATTGTACTAAAAAAGTGATACTCTTTATTTCAAATCCCAGGGCAGGAAGTGCTATAATGTGGACTGGGGGGTAGTAAGGTCAGAATATTAAGTGTTGTCTTCTAGGTTTGTGTACTATGTGATTAAAACCATTGGAAATAACTTTTGAAGTGTTCTAGGATTATTATTCTTATTCTTAAAGACAGCCTCTCACCCAGGTACTGATCCTCAAGCCTCATGTGCAGCTGAGACTATAGGCAGGTACCATGTGCTTAGCTTTTAGGGTTGACCCAGAGTCCAGCTTGGGCCTCCCATGTGGCCTCAGCCTGTCAAGTAGGCTACTTTATTCTTTTTTTTTTTTTGAGAGGTTTTCGCTATAGGGCGCGCGTGCGCTCACCAGACAGAGAGAGACATAGAGACAGAAAGCGAGAAATCACCCCCCAGGGGGGATGGCCATGCCGCAATCCCTTCTCCACCATTCTCCTCTCGGGATCTTGGGCATGCACACACACGTACCCAGTGTGAGTTTTAAGCCACCAGGTCGGGGACGCGAACCGTGGTCGACTACATGGGAGTCCAGTGACATAGCCATTACATTAACTGCTGGTTCCCTAGGCTACTTTATTCTTAAGAGAAAATATGCTTGTCTCCCAGAGCATTCGTGATAAATTTATTTATTTATTTATTTATTT